AAATAAGAAAATGCATATCTCAGGCATATAGAGGTAGTTGCCAATGGCTAGATGTAAAACATTTGGAGAAATGGTCTGGAAGAGATGCATCTGGAAATAAAATGAGAAGGGTGGGAAACACTAGCTAAAGACTAGGAGCTCAGTCCTAACATTTTGAAAACGAGTGTTTTTGATCTCCTTATGTCATCACTCCACAATCCACACCACTAATCCACTAAATTTTACTCATTAATAGGTCTGGCAATAACGCCCGCAAAGGCTAACACCTGCTTGTAACCAACACATAATTGATGTTTCATCCTCATTTTCGGTACTGCAAAAGGGTTAGCTCTCACACTAGAAGACAAGTGTTGATAATCACTTATGTCCTTGTTCTAGATTTTGCCAGCACCATCTTTGAATCTACCCCTCCATACTCTTTCTACCTTGAATTCCCTGGTCCAATCATTTTTTACAAATAGAGAGGCATAGATTGTGCTTTTCTTTTCTGCGACAATCGATCGTCCAATAACGCATGAGAGAGTTTACTAGCATGGAAATTTGTTTTGTTAAATCCTTATTACGAGCGACTACGGTACTATTATTACTTTGTGGTACAATTTTAATTTTGCAAAGATCGAAAGTGTGATTTACAAAACCAACAAATGTAGTATTATTGTGCAGCTCTAAATTCTGATTAACCTCATCAATGCAACAGTGAATTAGAAGAAAAAAATAGCATAGGGGACGCGAACAGCAATGTTTCTTCCAAGCAAAACTATTTTTCATGTTCATTATTTTCTATATATAATATACCCATTATTGTTCCTTCTCCCCAAAAGAGTTTCACAATTGGATTCCTCAAAGCCAGCGGCATTGAGAGCTGCAAGTAAATTTCAGTTGTAAACGAGGTGCTTAAGTCAATGAAACATGAATGAGCAGTGAGCACCACCATATAGACCAATTTTATATATTTTTCATTATCAGAAAAAGAAGAGATATGTTATCTACTGAATATCCACCACCCACCCATCATCACCTCCGAGAGACAAAACCTACAATAACAACACCACCAGACCATGTAAACCCCTAGGCCTCTTTTGCAATATAACTACCATCTGTAACTGGATATACATATATATATATATACACACACAGCTAGTGGTGAAGTGATTTGATGCTATCAAAATTCCCACATCACCACACAAATTAGTTGTTAATATAACTGCAATTCGGTACTGATGATCACTAGCATTACCAAGTACTACTACTTCCCCTTGTAACTAACTGGGATGCCATATACCTGGCCAATAAAAAAAAGTGACACAAGCAAGTGTTGCTCCCCTGGCCCACCCTGTAGGCCGGGCCCCCTCTTCTCCCTCTCCTCTCTGCCCTTGCCAATACCCCCTCCTCCTAATGATAAATACCTTGCCATGAGGCAGCCCACTCCAGAACTACACTTGCAGGACAAGCCCTAAACCAAGCAGCACTCTCATCATCAACCAAGTAGCTAGAAGACAGAGAGTGTGTAGCACTCACAAGAAACAAACCAGCCAAAATTGTCATGCTCACACACCCTAGACCCAGGTGCTGTGGTGATTGTGTGAAGTGATAACTGGGGGAGACGAGTAAGGAGAGAGACAGAGAAGAAGAAAAGATACACGGATCGATAGATGAATCACCATGCCGCCTCAGCTGGAGCACCATGAGCAGCAGACAGCCGGAGGTGGTGGCCACCGAGCTACAGCTCCTCCTCCTCCCAACAGCATACCCACCTTTAGCAGCAGCGGCACTCCCTCTCTACTTCTGTTTCTGCCACCACCACCAACCCCTCTGGCGCCGTCGTCCACCCCACCACCTCCAGCCCGCCGTCGTCAGCCCGCCTCCGCCCGCCCTGCCGCCAGCTCCTTCCCTCTCGTCCTAAAAGGTGCGTAAGTTGAGAATGTCATGTGTTGAGATCAGTGCATGGTGTCATGGTGATGAGACGATGTGCATGCATGTCATGCGTACGTGTTGGTGTCTTGTGCAGTTTGAGGAGGTGGTGTACAAGGTGAAGCTCAGGAAGCCGACAGCCGGATGGTGCGACAAGCTGTCAGCGGCCACAGCAAGCTTATGGCGGTCGGCTGCGGCGGGGACGGTACAGTGATGGAACAAAGAAGGCCACTGCGTCGGCGGCAGGGTCGTCTTCGTCGCGGGCGCGGGGAAGACCATCATCAGCTGCAATTTATGTCCGGGGTGGTGCGGCCAGGGAGATGCTAGCGATGATGGGCCCATCCAGGGAGCAGCAAGACGACGCTGCTGACGGCGCTAGGCCGTCGTCACGGCAGGCGTGCGGTGCTGTCAGGGAAAGATAACCTCCAGCAGGCAGCCCTTCTCAGGCGCCGTACAAGCGCCGCACCGGGTTCGTGACGCAGCACGGCGTGCTGTACCCGCACCTGACAGTGTCAGAGACGCTGGCTGGTACGGCGGCGCTGCGGCTGCCCCGGTCGCTGAGCGCCGGCGAAGCGCGCGCAGGCGGAGGCCGTGGCGCGCAGGCTCGGGCTGGCCAAGGTGGCCAGGGCATGGTGGGCGGCGTCCGCGGCGTGCGCAGGCTACCATCCGGCAGCGAAGCGCAAGCGCGTCAGCATCGGGCTGGAGATGCTGGTGGACCCAGCCTGCTGCCTGGACGAGCCCACCTCCGGGCTCGACTCACCACGGCAGCGCGGATCGTCAGGACGCTCCGCCGGATGGCGGCCAGGGCGGGCGCACCGTGGTGGTCACCATCCACCAGCCGTCGTCCAGGCTGTACCACATGTTCGACAAGGTGCTGCTGCTGTCCGCCGACGGCTGCCCCATCTACTACGGCCGCGCCGCCGACGCGCTCGATTACTTCGCCTCCGTGGGCTTCGCGTCGCCGCTCTCCCTCAACCCCCGCCGACCTCATGCTCGACCTCGCCAACGGTACGCCCGCCATGTATCACACCACTGGACTCGCGCATAAAATTCCTCTCTCTCTCTCTCTCTCTCTCTCTCTCTCTCTCTCTCTACCTTTTTTTCACGATGCCTTCCAATTCGCAGGGCACATTGCCATGTGCCATTCCAATCCTGCGCTGACGTCATCCGTTCTCCTTGATAGCTCTAGGTAGCTAGAACGACGGTGAGCGACAAACAAAGTCGGCACTAATAGTAGGCCATCGAAAAACTTTCCATTGGACAACCCCTCCCGGTATGGCAAAGGACGCCCATCACTTACCATCACCTCCTTGGTGACTTACCCCTAATAAGAGGCTGACACTAAGCAGAGCACGCATGCCATTGCTGCTCTGCTCACACCTCATTTTTATTCAAAAAAGTGAAAAGGGAGGAAACAATCCATATTAGCAGCTATAGGAAACAATTATAGTATTTTAAAATAAAATGGACCGTCAAGATCCTCGACGACCCACATAGTGAATTTTCAGTTGATGGTGTTTAATAATAAAAAAACAACAGAATCGGGTCCGTTGGGCAGTTAACCACCTCGATGGAGAAAAAGCTATGGGATCGAACAAAATAAAGCGCACCGGAATACCACGGGCTCTGAAAAACATAATAAAAGCAAAAAGAAATAGGCATCGCCTTATACATGAAGGGGAAGGGGCCGGAGTAGGCAGGCACAAACTGATGTGCCGGATTGCCTTCTTGATACGATACGGTTGCGCGCATGCAGCCATTGGGGGTCCCTGAGGGAGGCGATGTTTACCTTTGATCTGCGTCATGATTTGATGAGCGCCATCACCATCTTCGTCGTCTTCATGGCATATGCGCACTAGTAATAACTAGTAGATAATTACATGAATTTCAAGAATTAATCTCACAAAAAAAAAATCGAAATCCATCCTCTGTTGTTCATACACTATATGTATATGAGAAGGCATATAAATGTTTCGATTCTTATATAGAGAGGGAAAAGCGTGATGATTATCTCCCGGCAACAACACCCAAAATACAAGAGGCCTTATTTGTCGTTTGGGTGGCCTTCTAGTAAAAGTTAATCTATTCGGCATCTTGTCCAACAAATGAGGCCAAGAGAATCGTTTACTTCTGTGAATGAGTTTCCAGGAGAGGATATACCATATTTAGGATTGTCTTTCTCGAAATGACCAAAATAGAAGTCTACCGTATAAATCTTATATTGGAGACTGATTTTGGGCATACTACCTATTTTAGATTTGGATGCCTATATGGGTTCCATAATAGGGACAATCTCATGGGAGCAGAATTGCAGAAATGGGCAACCGCAATGATGGAATTAAGGTGGGTTTGGGTGGAGGGAGACACACATGGACAGGGACACACTGCTCCGCCCACCTGCCAATCATGGATCCATCCACCCCTCCCATCATTCGTTCCCTCTCCTCCCATTCCAATCTTGATTTCTTTTCGCATACGGAAATGGCCCAATCCCGATGAACAATGGCGGACACTTGTCGACCTCCTGGACCTCCTCGGGGGCTCAGGCTGCTCCCTCCAACACTGTGCTCACGTGCGCTGTGCATGCAGGTATCGCGCCGCAGACGACGAGCGGCGACGGCGCCGACGGGATGGCGGCGCTGACCGGCGGCAGCGAGAGCGAGCACAAGGAGGTGCGCGCCAGGCTGGCCGCGGCGTACGAGCGCCACATTGCGCCGGCGGTGAAGCTGGACATCTGCGCCCGGGAGACAACGGCGTTGCCGGCGGGCAGCGCCGGCGGGCACGCGTCGTCAGCGCGGCGGCGCGCGTCGTCGAAGTCGTCCTCGGAGACGTGGACGACGGGGTGGTGGACGCAGTTCCTGGTGCTGGTCCAGCGCGGGCTCAAGGAGCGCCGGCACGAGTCGTTCAACAAGCTGCGCGTGTTCCAGGTGCTGAGCGTGGCGACGCTGGCGGGGCTGCTGTGGTGGGCGCACCCCGGCGTCGCACCTGCAGGACCGGACAGCGCTCATCTTCTTCTTCTCCGTCTTCTGGGGCTTCTTCCCGCTCTACAACGCCGTGTTCACGTTCCCGCTGGAGCGGCCCATGCTGGTGAAGGAGCGGTCGTCAGGGATGTACCGCCTCTCCTCCTACCTCGCCGCGCGCCGCCACGGACCTGCCCATGGAGCTGGGCCTGCCCACGGCGTTCGTGCTCATCCTCTACTGGATGGGCGGGCTGGACCCGCGCCGGGACCGTTCCTCCTCTCCTCGCCGTCGTGCTCTACAGCGTGCTGGTGGCGCAGAGCCTCGGGCTCGCCATCGGCGCCGTGCTCATGGACGTCAAGCAGGGGACAACGCTCGCCCCGTCATCACCATGGTCTTCCTCATCGCCGGTGGGTACTACGTGCAGCACATCCCGCCGTTCGTCGCGTGGCTCAAGGTGGCTCAACTACAGCTTCTACTGCTACCGACTCCTGCTCGGGATCCAGTTCCCCAACGGCGGCGGGTACTACGACTGCGACGGACACGGCAAGCTCTGCCCGTCGCCGAATTCCCGGCCATCAAGGCCGTCGGGCTCAACAACCACTGGGTCGACGTCTGCGTCATGGCGCTGCTGCTCGTCGGATACCGCGCCGTCGCGTACATTGCGCTCGACCGCCTCAAGCCCAGGTGACCGCCATGGCTGTGGCCAGAGCTGCCCCCCCATACATGAACGTGACATGCATCCGACCATGGAGCAGTAGAGTCTGATTATCAGTCAGCTCTAAGACCAAGAGGCATTACTTAACTGGAAGAAGAGTTAGTTAATTTAGGTGATGGCGAGGTGATTGGCGCTTATTAATCGGGTGATCAAGAGGAGGATTAATGGTGATGGTTACTGATTAGTGTACGTGGATGATGACGTGGCACGAAATAATCACTAGATTGATCTGTAACGAGAGGAGAGAGAGAAGGAAGCACTTAGTTAGTGCTATACTGCTATGTATAATATAATACAACGAGGAGAATGAATACGATACAAACCTGCCGCTAGACTAGATGCAGCTTCTCTACTCTGAACAAACCAGACTGTTACTTCTAATTCAGTAATCTGCTGTGCCATTTCACATAACCATCGAGAAGAGTGATATTTTCCTTCATCAGATATTCAGTGTGTTTTCCTTCAGCTCCCAACTTCACACACAACCATCGTCAGCTTGTGCTATTCATATCAAGTATGTATGCAGTATGGCAGTATGTATTCCGAAAAACAATCTCGTGTCCAACTGAACTGAACTGAAGCCTGACGAGCTCCGCGTGACACAGACTCTAGTACCCACCACCACCATGCCTTGGAGCTTTCCAACAGTGTTAGGACAGGGCATCAATGGCATGAAGGGACAGTGTAACAGAAACAGATTTTGTTTTGCAAAGGAGAATATCTATCTATCTATGCTTTTGTTCTGTAACAGAAACAGATGCTGCTGCAGCAGTGCTGCACTTCTCAACTCCCAGTGAAACCATGGCATCTCCTTCTTGACATGGCTATACAGATTTTTGGGTCGAGCTTCAGAACAGAAGCTTCGAGCTGTGATTGTTCTGTTCCACATTTTCCTCTCTTCCTACCTGATCTTTGTGTTCTTGTCAGGCACTGAAAGTGAGAGTTGCAGAGAAACAAACTGGTTCATCATCAGAGACTGCAGCGTATCAATGGGCAGATATGACCAGAGATCTGCTTTAGTTTCCTCCAACCTCTCACCTTCAGTTGATTGATTGGTTTCTACAAGGAGGGCTACATTTGCACCAACTCCTACAGTGTCCTCGTTCAGTCTAGCTTACACTGCTATGCTTTAAACCTCAACTCAGGCACACTCGTGTCTGTTATTTTAGAACTAACATGCTTCTCTTCTCTAAAAAAAATATGAAGATTTTCATTCATCCACAAATGTGTAATCCTGCAGACCTTTTTTCTCCTCCTATCAAACATAATGTTTCTGTTATATCGAACTAAATAAAACCAAAGAAAACAGACACCAATAAAACATAATGTCTTTTGTAACCTACCTTATTTTCTTTTGTTTCCTTTTATTTCTTAATTTCCTCAGGCTTACAAACTTTTTTCTTATATTTATATATTTAACCAGTAGGGGTTTCCTACCCCTCCTGATTCCTAAAGAGAAAGAGGGAATGAGCTGCCAACCCATTTGCGTGTAAACCATTTATTTTTTATGATGACCCATATATATTAAAACGTTAAAAACATAGTACAAAGTTCAGATATAGAATCCCTAACTGCACTTCCTAGCAACACAACATAGAAATCCTAATTTCCAGGGTTTACCATCCACTTGATGTGTTGAATATGTGGTGGTTTATTTGTAATATTTCGCAACTTAGGATTCTTTAGTCAGGGGCGGATGTAAGGAATTTACTGATAGAGGAGCAAGTTCTAATAAAATGTAAATTATTAGGAGGGCAAAATCAACATTTTTTTGTTGATATATAACAAAAACTTTATGTATATAAGAGAAATTCCCCCCTCCCGTTCCCCTATCTTTAGCAAAACATCCAAACCAGCCCAAAGGGGCAGCCATGCGTCCCTTCTCCTAACTTGAGCTCATTTGTTCTTGAGGAGAGGTAGGGCTAGCGAAGAGGAGAGTATTTGATCCACCAAATCCGCCACTGAGTGAGTGTGTGTGTGTGTGTGTGTGAGAGAGAGAGAAAGAGATTTGTGAGTGATACAGAGCCTTCCCTCGTTTGATGGTTTCCATGCAATGTATTGCTTTATATTACAGTGGATTGCCTATCATCACCTGGGGTTTTCTCTCACAAGAGGTTTTACACATAAATTCTCGTTTATGCTCTTGTTTGATATTCTTCTAGCCATATTGCTTGATTGGTGACTGGATTACTTGCTAATCGTGTCATACTTCAAGTGGTGCTTGAGTATTCGGTTGGCACATGAAGTATACTTGAGTTCTTTTGATATATTGATGATTTGTTGATTGGACCAAAGGATTAACTGGCTAGTTGTTGAAATACCTTGTTTAGAAGTCACATGCAAAATTTAGCTCAAAAGATCAAGAAACAACCCCAAATCACTTTCAGTTTCACATTTTTATGTCGAAAACGAAATCGATACGAACATGTGAAGAACCATGATTGACAAGTCCACAAGAATGTACAAGATGACACGTGATGAGACCACAAGCTAGAACTCGAATACCTAAGGGTCTCCAGGTTTGCCATCTGTCGCTAGGTCGGAACCGCGCCCAAGCATTGTTGTTCGAGTCGGTGTCAGAGTACATGTCTTTGGTGGCTCGGATGGACTTAAGAACAGAAGAATCACGGAGAGAACATAACGGTTTATCCTGGTTTAATGATCGATGCCCTCGTCAAAGCTGATGATCCTTATACTCAATAGCATCTAAAATCGGGGATTACAACAGAGTGTACAGGAGGTGAGAGAGATTTGGTAGCAACGATGACTGGTCTGGCGAATGCAGCGCCGAGATAGAATGGCGTAGTGGAGATAAGCTTGGCTTCGAATCTGTTCATGATCTGTGAAAGAGAGGAGAATGGAGACTGGACAAGGGCCGAGAGGCTAGTAAACATTTTTCCAAGCTTCTTTACATGTATCAAAACCAAATTAACACCCCATTATTGTACATGAGCCGAACGGTAACTTTCCTTCATGCATCAAACCAACGCCGTCGAGGTTTAAATCCGACTCCAGAACTTTTTATTTCGTGTGCGAATGCCATCGAGGATTCAGGCAAAAACACACGCACGGGCAGCATCAGGTCAAATAGATCGTAAAACACAAGGGGAGAAAAATACCCAAGGTGGGCCAGACCGCTATGCCGAGTTCGCTGGAGTGGAAACCCGCCACTTACCTGTCGTCCGAGTTGGTCCTCGCCGTGGAGCACGGCGATGGCAGTCGGCTCCGGCAGCACCGGCGACAGTCACACATGCTTTGCTTTGGCTCTAGTCCTCCTTTACATGGTGGTGCTGATGCTGGTCTCTTTTTATCTCCCTCCTGCCTGTTGTCCTTTGAGGATCAAAAGGACTGCGGTTCCAACAAATCCTCCAAGGCTCCAACCAAGCAACAAAGTTTTGGACGAAAAAAATATATAAGTTGTAACGAACTCACACCAACTTTTTTGATTGTTTCCACTGTATTTCTCCCCCAATCTGCCACCTCAATTCCAGAGCTAGTATGGCTCTGCTGGTTCATCCTACATCTAGAATTAATTTATAAATGTATATGATAGAAGAGCTAGTAGTGCAGAATTCATCTTTTCTTTTGCCGACCCATACTATATACATGAGACATGAGGGTGAATTAATAACTGCATGGCGGAGCTAGATAATATAGAGGGCATGGCGGTTAGAAGAACAAGAACTTAGACTTGGAGTTGCATCTGAAGGCGAGCGTGGTGCCGTTGGACCAGAAGAAGGAGCGGATCTGGCATGCCAGACGCGTCCACTGGTTGATGGCGACGAGCCCCACGACCTGCCTACTGGCCTCCCCCATTCGAGAAAGTTAAATCTGCCCCAGGGCATATGTCCCACGCACCTGCGCCGTTGGATTCGCATTGAGATATAAAATTATTCCTCCTTGCTTCGCTCGTCCCCTCTGGACCTCTGTGACTCCACGCACTAAAGACATACTTCTGCGTGAGGGTATGAAGCAAACAGTTTCCCGAAATTTGGTTGATGCTCATGCTAACTTGTTGTGAGAAGAAAATAATGATCCTTCTCGTACTCGCAAGGTACGCATGGGAAAGCAGCAGGGTTAAATCGTGCATTGTGAGTAGGTGGTCATAGCGCAAGAGGAGGAGCCGGTGCCGGTATGATAGTGTAAGGCCCGAGTACCCAGCAGATAGCTACGTCCCAATCTCGCCAATACAATGGCACAGTGCAAACAGGGTAGGTTAGTACTCATATCGAAAAAGCATAATATTTATCATGAAAATAGAGTAAAATAATAATTTTTAGCTATGTAATTGAATTTTCTATAGGTATTTAAAAAGAAATCACTGTGCTGGGGGGCACGGGCCTGCTGGCCCTCTCTGGTTCCGCCGGTGACTGCGGCAGGGAGCGAGCAGCAGCAACAACATCACTTCGATTGCGGATCTCACGCTGTGGGTTGGGCTTGTACAAAGCGCAAGAGGGAGCAGCAACAGCAAAGACTCGCTCCACGCACCGCACCGAGGCGCTGCCCACTAATTCGGAGTGTCTAGTTTCATGGACTAAACTTTAATGTGTATCACATCGGATGTTTAGATATTAATTTAGAGTATTAAATATAGACTAATTATAAAATTAATTATATAGTTTGAGACTAATTTACGAGACGGATCTATTAAACTTAATTAGTCCGTGATTTGGCAATGTGGTGCTACAGTAAACATGTGCTAACCAAGGATTAATTAGGCTTAATAGATTCATCTCGCTAATTAGTCTACTCATTTGCAATTAGTTTTATAATTAGCTCATATTCCCTTGATCCAAACACCAGCTAAGCGCTTAACCTGCCAGTGATATGGACCTTGGCGAGTGGCGACAAAGGCAAGAGGCCCACATGTGACACACCACAAGGGGAAGGGGACGACAAGACCCAATTTTTTATAATTTTGCCATTTTTTTTAAGAAAATTTAAGTTTGGCCCCCTGGGAGACGTAAACTTATCTTTGGACCCTGGGGGTCGGCGTCAGGACTCATGGCGCCGAGGTAACACGTCTCGGCGCCACTGATTTTGACTGAGGGTGTGCACCGGGCGTGCAATGAGGAGCATCCTAGGTGGCGTTGGCGTGGTTTGGTACCTCGGCGGCGAATACATGGCTCAAAGGTTGGTGCCACAAATCTTCGCGCCGACATCGAGCCTATGTATTCGGCGCCGAGCATGGATTCAAAACCCACGCCAAGTTTTCCTTGCCGAGGCTACTTTCATTTCTTCCTCCTCTCGGTTTCTTTCTCTCCCTAACCAGTCCAATCTCTTGAATCAACGAATTTGACCTTGGATACTTGGATTTGATCCATACATCTTCGCGAGCAAGGTATCCTTTCTCCCCTTATTATTTTTTACACATTGATTTGGTATATATTACGTCTATTTTGCAACCCTAGATGCATTATTACCTAATGTTTGAAGTGATTTTTTTTAATTTTTTGTATTATGTAACGGTAGGATGCCAAGGCGTGGTAAAGCTAGTAAGCCAAGATAATCTCTTATCATCGTGGTATATTATGTTTTTATTTATGTGCAACAAATAGAAAACCCTAAGTTTAGGGTTTAATGTTCATTGCTTTTGGTTCTTAGAACAAATTTGGTTCAATTATAGTTATGGCCGGATGACCGAAAATGCCTTCATCCCGTTGCCTCTGCCTAGTAGTGTTCCAGTGCCCATGTGCTTTTGCGGCGATCCTTGCAAGGTAGCCAAGTCCGATGAAGAGGACACGTATAGGCAGAGGTATTGGATGTGTGCCAATTTTGCGTTTGAGCCTACACTTCGTCAGCGCCGCATTAACAAGATGGTGAGAAATTGATGTTGTTTAATATTTATTTTGTGTCAAATGAAGTCTTGCATGATTTATTTGTTTTGTAACAGTTGCATTTGTTGCAGACCCCTCCACTGCTCTGTGATTTTGAGCAGTGGATCGATACTGAGATCAAGTCGGAAGACAAGGAGTGGATGTAGAATTGTTACGGTGGGGAGGCAGAGGACAAGGAGATGATGGAGAAGAGACGCAGTGAGAAGGCTCTAGAA